CACACACACATGCACACACACATACATATTCATACACACACAGAGAGCATTATAGTCATTGATTGTAGATTTGTATACCCATTCTGCCACATTTACAAATGAACTGATGTATGTATCTGTTGCTGGTTTCTTGTAACATTCATCCATTAATTCCTTGCAGAATGAATAACAGCTCTTTATAACAGGTTCGAGCTACAATTATCATCTTGTCTCAAAAATAAATAAATGAAAAATTAATGTTAATAAAGTAATTAAAATGCAGACTCTGAATTCAGACATATGAGTTTAGAAATTGACCCATCAACTGTTAGAACCTCTTGGTATCTCCATTTCCTCATCTTACAAATTTTGAGGATTAAGTCAAGTCAAATTAATTTTGAGGATTAAGTGATTTGTTTTTTTCATAATGTACCTAAAACAGTGCCTGGCACATAGCATTTAGTTCTCATTATGTTTTTCTATCTCTTCTCACCTTGGGCCAAATATGGTAGAAAGTATAAAAAAATAAGATTCAGTTCACATATCAGAAATAAAATGTTTAATAAACATTAGTTCCCCTCCCCCCAAAAATGTGAGTCATGGATCACTAATAGTGAAAATGCTTGAAGTACTTAATACTTAGAGTATAAATGTTTATAGCATATATTTTGTTTTGGAATGGATTAGTAATTTATTTTGGAAACGTGGAACAAGCAAGCAAACAAACAATATATCGATATGTAAGGCAAAGCAAATCAGAGTCCCCCTAAATTCTGATGACTACTTTGTGGTGGCAAATAGGGCAGGATGCTAAATAAATAGTGTGCATTGCAAATCTACAAAGATAAAGAATCATTTAACTGTACTTTTGTGATGTATTGCTTAGAATTAGTAATTAACTCAAAGCATCAAAGATGAGGAGTAAGTGAAGAAATAGTTTACATTATAAAATATAATTTTAATATTTTGTCCATGAAATGTTTTCATCTAACAATATCATTAAGACACAGGACTTAAAAAAAAAAAAGACACAGGACTAGTCACATAAAATTAACCATGTTAGCTATATATTAGTGAATGTGATTATTTTACATATTATTAAATTCATGAGATGATATTAAACCTGTTATAACTATGAATCCATGTATTCAGCCATATTAATATAAGTCATAATATCAATTGCCATCATCTGTATATTCTTTTGCTTTAGTTGCTTGTAAAGGGCCCTCAGCAGATATCTGTCAAACGGATTCTTCTTTTTAATAGCCAAATTCTCCAATAGCTTGGGGGATTTGGTGAAAACCATCTGGACTGTTATTGTCCTTAATCTAAATTAAGTGTTGTTTATGCTGTGCTAGACAGAGTGTCTAAATTGATATCTAAATTGGTTAAGCTCACTAAAAGCAGAATATAGGGATTTTAAATTCTGAGTTGCTGTTAGGGTAAATGAGTTAACACATGGAAAGCCCAACAGTACCTTGATCATAGTAAATATTCAGTAATACTCTTATTATCATTTTGAAAGAAAAATTTCTTAAGGTACTATATGTTTATTAAGACATGACTAATCTAAGAAAAATAAAGTCATAGCCTAGACTTCATGTTAAAACAAAAAAAGAAACACTAGAAAAATATCTTCAGTATTTAAGCTAGGCTCCAATGACAGAGCCATAAAGGGAAACACTGAGAAATTTACCAAATAAAATTTAAAACATCTGTGTTAAAGAAAACGTTCAACACATGAAAAAGTGCTCAACATCCCTTGGCATCAGGGAAATACAAATCAAAACCTCAATGAGATACCACCTCACACCAGTCAGAATGGCTAAAATTAACAAGTCAGGAAACGACAGATGTTGGTGGGGATGCGGAGAAAGGGGAACCCTCCTACACTGTTGGTGGGAATGCAAGCTGGTGCAGCCACTCTGGAAAACAGTGTGGAGGTTCCTCAAACAGTTGAAAATAGAGCTACCATACGATCCAGCAATTGCACTACTGGGTATTTACCCCAAAGATACAAATGTAGGGATCTGAAGGGGTACGTGCACCCCAATGTTTATAGCAGCAATGTCCACAATAGCCAAACTGTGGAAAGAGCCAAGATGTCCATCGACAGATGAATGGATAAAGAAGATGTGGTATATACACAATGGAATATTATGCAGCCATCAAAAGGAATGAAATCTTGCTATTTGCAACGACATGGTTGGAACTGGAGGGTATTATGCTGAGTGAAATAAGTCAGTCAGAGAAAGACATGTATCATATGACCTCACTGATATGAGGAATTCTTAATCTCAGGAAACAAACTGAGGGTTGCTGGAGTGGTGGGTGTGGGAGGGATGGGGTGGCTGGGTGATAGACATTGGGGAGGGTATGTGCTATGGTGAGTGCTGCGAATTGTGCAAGACTTGAATTACAGATGTGTACCTCTGAAACAAATAATACATTATATGTTAAAAAAGAAGAAGAAGATAGCAGGAGGGGAAGGATGAAGGGGGGGAAATCAGCAGGGGAGATGAACCATGAGAGACTATGGACTCTGAGAAACAAACTGAGGGTTCTAGAGGGGAGGGGGTGGGGGGATGGGTTAGCCTGGTGATGGGTATTAAAGAGGGCACGTTCTGAATAGAGCATTAGGTGTTAAACGCAAACAATGAATCATGGAACATTACATCAAGAACTAATGATGTAATGTATGGTGATTAACATAACATAATAAAAAAAGAAAAAGAAAATGTTCAACAAAATTAAATCTAAACAAACTTAAAAACATATATGCAACATGTTATAAAGGGTTAATATCCTTTATAAGTAAAGAACTCTTATGAATTGACTTTAAAAAATGAGAAAGGTACAAAAGAAAAAATAATTGCCTGAGGATAAACGTATAAAAAATGTTTGAACCAGCTAGCAACCTAAGAAAGGTAACTTAAAACAACTACAAACTGCCATTTTAAAATCAATTTGGTTGGTGTTTAAAATAATGATACACAGTACCTTATCTGCATATCCAAAAATTCAAAAGCTCTAAAAACTGCCTTTTGTAACTCATTTGGCAGCAAAACGTAACCTGACTTGGACACTCTGGAAGCAAAACGGTGTTACCTGATATGAAGTACTCCTTACTTGTGCCTTTTAGTGCAAATTACATAATTATGGTTGCATAAATACTCATGTGTTTGATTATTAACTGCTTTCCTGGACTCTGCTCGGAGTGTTATGGGACAGAAGGCATTTGCATCATGTTAACTTCTGAAAATCAAAAATTCTTTTTTTTTTAAAGATTTTTATTTATTTATTTGACAGAGAGAGACATAAAGAGAGGGAACACAAGCAGGGGGAGTAGGAGAGGGAGAAGCAGGCTTCCCCGCGGAGCAGGGAGCCCGATGTGAGGCTCCATCCCAGGACCCTGGGATCACGATCTGAGCCGAAGGCAGAAGCTTAGCGACTGAGCCACCCAGGCGCCCCCAGAAAAATTCTTAATTCCCAAACCTAACTGTCCCTAAAAGTTTTGGATGAAGAACTGCAGACCTGCATTTAATTTGACAGTACAGAAAAACAAAGTTATTCAGAAACCCCCAGTGAGATTACAAACTGTTCTATTTTGTGAGTGGGACAGCGATAATCTGGCAATTTATATCAAAAGCCCTAAAAGGGTATATGCCCTTTACTCCCAAATTCCACTTCTAGTAATTTATTATTATTAAATTACTAGGAGAATGATGAAAGATTTAGGTTTTAGTAAGTCCAAGATAGATGGTATATAACAGGTAAAAACTGCAAAGTCCCAAATATTCAGTGACAGAAGAGGTAGGGTCATCCAGGCTCTAGCTACACTACAGACCACTGCTGTGCCACTTTTAAGTGATATTGTACAGTAATGCTCATTCACATTGAAGATGCCTGTGGCATCTTGTTAGGTAGAAATACCAGGCTACAAAAACAATATGCACTATATGATCTAATTTCTTAGAAAAATATTTGTATTTATCTATGTCTAAAAATATTCAAAGGATATTCACCAAAATATGAACAGTGGCTATCTCTGGATGGCAACATTGCAGATGTTTCTAATTTTCTTTTTATAACTATGCCTTGTCTACAGTGAACATGTGTTATTACTACAATAATAAGACTTGTAAATTTCATTTAATTATATCATATAAAGCATGCCAATATATCTGACTTAGATTCCAAGTTCTCTCTATATATATAATTAATATTTATCAAGAAAAATATAATATTCATCTTACTTATAAGAGTTAATAATTATAAAGGCTCAGTGTGTCTGGAAAACAGTATCATAAAGCAAAGCCTTGTTTTCAAATAGCATGTTTTTGCTTATAGAAGCCTTTACAGTATTGTTGATATTTTAAATGTGTATGTATAAAAATTAGCCATGAAGAATGGGAAGTGTAAACCATACTGCCAAGGAAAGTGGGTTTACAGTTTCAGACTTTATAAAAAATATGCCCAGAGAGTGTATTGCCAGCATTCAAATTCTGACCCATGTGGAGAGAACAGCAAGCTAACCATCTTGAATCGTGGGATGTCAATTGAGAATTTATAATGCCTTTGTTTCAGTCGTCAGAAACAGTTTGCAATCCTCGGAAATGTATTTTGACAATACGATCTTTATCCGGAAATACTCCTTTTAACAATACAAATAAATAAGAAAACCGTATGCACTTTCAGGAAAGCAATTTGCCTTCTGTACTGCCTTGAGTGGTGATAACACGAGGACGTGCCATCCTACCGCTTGGCATGGGATAAACAGCTAGACCCAGCCATATATCTGCAAGAGAAGACAGCTCTGTGTCTTAACTCCCAATTTTTAAGTCAGTGCTTATTATAGTTCCTACAGTATGCGTCAGAAATTTGGTGCTGACTCTGAATGCTTTCTTCCACTTTGGTAGACTACTTCTGCAATCTGTGAACAATTAAATTGTATTACTTTTTATTAGAAATTGTGATATCTGTTGCTTCTTTACTGAAAGAAATAATTCTTTATTTTTCAGAGCTTCCATATGGCTGGGAAAAAATTGATGATCCCATATATGGCACTTATTATGTTGAGTAAGTCTTTAAGTTTCCTACTAATTTGTTATTAATATGTGGTGAAACATATTTAGTATTTCAGTTGTTGAGCATGTGTGGCCAGCAGCACCTTTCCTTTCCTTTCATCTCACTTTGAAGTATCCACAAAGACTCTAGCAGCCCCAGAGAGCTCTCTCTTCCTTCTCCAGCTGACTAATTGGTCATTCTTTTCCTTTGACCCATGATTCTAAAACACCAATTGGAAAAGTGTTTCACACTGTCCTCCAAATGAGTGATAATTAAAGATATCAAAGTAAATGCCCTTCATTTTGCAATCACAATGTTGGGAACGGACTTGTTGTGCAAAAGAGATGTTCTATTAAACTAGATTTCAAAACCAATTAGATGAAGCAGCCATACTTTCCAGTTGAAGGATAAAATAAAACTTAGATCTGTTTTGTTTTGTTTTTTTCTCTTTTAAGGCCCCATTTCAAATCAATAGTATTCTTTCTGTAGATTGGACTTTTATGTTATCAGTGGAGGCTGCATTGCTTCAGTGTATCTTAGCATGTGAGTTATCGCCTCTATCCATTATTTTATTTCAAATAAAGCCCCTGTTAGGGATTAAATTATATACACATTAAGGAAAATCAGGTAATAGTCATAATTTCCAAAAGTTAAATATGCAGCTTACTTTTCTAGAACCCCTCTTCTGATAGAGAATTTTTTTTTTATTCCTCCTAGTATGTAATGTTGTTATTGTTATTTGGGTGAATAACAAAGCCTACACATTGCTTAGAAAAAGTGTACTACCCAAGAAATGCAGAGACTGAAAAACTAAAGGTGTTCACATTATTTATCAAGATCTAACTCTTTTTTCTCTAATCACATTCTGTTTAACAATAATAATCTAGATGGTCAAGGGTTAGAGATTAATGACACTATTGCTAAATTGTTTTACTAACAATATTCAGTCACTGAGCTTTTACTAAGTGTCAAGCCCTTCTTTGTGCTGGGGAGGTACTGATGAGTAAGTCCTGTGTGCTTCCGGCCCCTGAGCATCTTTCTCATGAGCTTGGATACTCTGACAACCATCTTCATTTGGAAAAGCCCCAATTTTGGCACCACAGTCAGGCATCTCCAGGCAAGGTGAATTCACCTCATTTACCACATTAGATACCATATACTATCTAATGCTCTGATATCAGTTGGATACTCAATAGAAGCAAAAAGTAAAATAAATGCCTGGAGGTGTCACTAATTGCAAAAATAAAGAGACGTCCCTTGCATATAGTTGTAAGGCTCCCTGCTCTCCCTCCATTGCTAATCAATAAAAATACACATATTTTAATAATAATATAGCTGCAGCTTCTGGATAAATGTATCAACATTGCAGGTTTCCAGTAAATGCTAGCTAGTCTTAAGTCACTAAATCAGGCTGTACTATGCCTAAGACTATTACATCTGAAATCCAGGGTAGTTCCAGGTAAGGGAAGAGAACTGAGGGATGTGACACACCAGATCTCATGTTTAATACACTTCCTTGCAGAATTCACTGAATGAGAATTTTTTCTTTAGTCCAGATATTAGCAAATACCAGTAAGAGCCAGAGAGCAAATATTCTGGGGGGCCATATGACCTCTGTCACAACTATTCAACTCTGCCACTGTAGCTTGAAAGCAACCATAGACAACACTTAAATGAAGGGGCATTAGCTACCATCTAATAAAACTTTATTTACAAAAATAGGCAACTGGCCAAATTTGTCCTACCAACCCCCACCCAATTCTAATTCTTCAGGTTATTCTTCCATGTCCTCAACTGCTTTCAAGCTGGCTTCAATGTGGAAAATAACATTTAACTCAAGCCTTTCTTCTCTGCCTTAATTATCTGTCATAGAGGTGAGACACCCAACGTATCGGAAAGCAATCCTTCCAACCTTCTCTTTCATTGAAGTGTGTGTTCTTCATGTAAAGAGCTGCTACTGGTGGACCCCTTGTAGTTAATTACTGAATTGGACACTAGCTGTGACCCTAAAAGATAATTGTCCTCATTATTTTTATACTTCACATGATTGTCTTTTTTGTTTTTGCTTAAATTATATTTCTGTCTGCATTTCTCTACTTCATTTCACATGCATTCACTGTCATAGTCAGAAATTGTTCATAAGTTAGCCAGTCATGTCTTATATCATTAAATCAGTCTAACACACTTAATAATTTTAGATTTCAAGTGATTGTGATGTCATAGACACGGGTCTCAGTGAATCAGATTTAACTTTCTTCAGATTGCATCCAGTTCTACTACTTGTCATGGTTTTTCCCCCATTACACAATTCCGTAACATATACTAACACCAATAATTAGATATGTGGGTGTCTCAGACTGACTAGAAAATAGAGACAGATAATTCAAACCTAAAGATAATTTTAAGTAGAATTATATTCCAATATTGCTCAGAAACATCCTTTGGAAAAAATTCACCAAAACAATTAAAATACCTCAATTTATTCTATATAATGTAAACATTACTTGAAATCAGGGATCTCTTCCATCACAACAAAGACAACTTTTCCATTTTACCTGAAAATATCTATTTATGTGGTTTGTTTTAACGGTTCAAAAAAAAATGAGTTGCATCTCCATTACACTATTATTTTCACAAGGTATGTATTGGTTCTAAATAGTAGTCTTGTTGGTGGAAACTATATGACTACATATGTGAACATAGTGGTTATTTGTCACTTTCAGTGCACAGAGTATTTTTGTTAGAAAAAGGCTACCAATTTCTTATAGTTAATTATACAGAAAAACAATAACTGTCTAGTTTAAGGTAAGTTTCTATATGCAGTTTTCATTATAGACATCATAAGTATAAGATATAATATGCCTAGATGAAGACACTTCAATTAATTGTAGTGATAGCATTGATGTCAATATCTTAGAATCATATAAATTTGTCATATTAATATTCAGTTAATGTAAGAAAGCAAGGTGGTCTTCATTGTAAATCTGTAGTCAAGAAAATGTTGATTCACTAATTCTATTCATAATAACAGTCAGTGGGTTTTCTGTAGAGCTATCATTTTTGGTGTTTAGTTACACACTCACTTACACAGTTAGAGGTGCGGTTACAAAATATGACAAACATTCCACCTTCCCACCTAGTGGGAAAAAAAAGCCTGTGTTAGGACACCAGAAGTCTAACTTAACAGTCAGCCGTTCTCTTCAAATAGACTAGCCTACTGGGAGCAGAAGTTGGACTGTGGTCCCTCTGTAGTCAGCAGGTCATGTCAGGTTGAAATGAGCCCGTGCCTCTGGCATAGTTGCATATGCCCCGGACAAGCAGATAGGAATTCCAGCAAGCAACTTCCAGGAAAGTGTTTATACAACTTGAAACTGAAAAGCCTGGATTGAATCGTTTTTGACCACCAGTACCGACTTTTCCTTTCTATGCCATAATTCTGTCCTCTGCAAATTCAGTTTTAAGATGATAGGTTTAATGTATTCAAAAGTCAGAAAAATCATCACCACCATCATCATTACTGTAACATCAAAAGAGTTAACATTTATTGAGTGACTGCTTAGTATGTGCCATGAACTGGGTTAAGTGCTCAACAGTCTTTACCACATTTATAATCCTCACTATAGTGATAATGACGTAGATTGTCTTAAGTGTGCAGATAGGGAAATGCTGGCTGAAGAAGTTAGGTAGCTTACCCAGTTTCACACACATTATTGAGAGGAATGGCTGTAATTGAGACGTAGGCACTCTGACTGGAGAGCTTAGACTCCAAACTCTTGCTCAAAATCATCATCCGGTAATTAGCATTCAAAATCGGTAATATTGTAAACAAGCCTCTGAGACTCATCACTAAGAAGAATGAGGGGTCCCTAGAGAACATCTGCTCTCTAGCCCACCTCTGGTACAGTTTTGCAGTCCCAGGAAGATGTCCAACAAGGGGAGGTCGTGCTGCACACAGCCGGGGAGACTCTTCTGACCCAAGCATTCTGAGCCTTTCACTCCATTACCAGTGGCTTGGGAGCGGCTCTAGACAAGATGGCCACCGGTAGTGAGACTTGCAGGGCCTGAAAGAAGAGGAGTTCATACTGGGGGGACCTTAACATAGGGATGTTGGCACTGGATGGAGCAGTAGGGGCAGCCACACAGCTCTGCATTGTAGAGAACAGTGGGCCCCACTCAACATCTTCATCTGCAGACAGGGCAGATGGACCAAGTTTCCACTCTGTGGAGCAGCAGAAAGAAGTTAGCCCAATTTTTCCTGACAGACACCAAATCCATGAGAGCACAGCACTTAGCAACGTATTAAGAAGTCCTGAAGTTGCTAACTAGAAATGTAACTGTCACTGTTCATAAAGAAAAAAAAAATTCAATGAAAAAAGTGCAAAATGTAGAGTTGAACAGCTGTGACTTTTGTACAATTGTGGTTTTTTTCTCCTCTTTTGTGAAATTATGTCTACTGGGTACATTTTGGTTTCAATGGCAGTTACACAATTTGCTTAAGTAGCTAGTCCAGAAGACACAATTTCCTGGAACAGCTTTCATGCAAAGCTGCCTCCTCTGGAACAGACGGAGAAGCAAACCATATAAGTACAGTTAGAATGATAGTGGGGACTGACAGATGTGATTTTCATGGAAAGGTTTTACAAGTTTTTCATGTAATGTCACACATCTGCTACTCTAAAATGTTACTTGTGTACAATTCCAGAAAGTCTGAAAGATACCGCACAATATCTTCAATGTAACATTAAATGTAAAAGGAAAATCACATTCATTTCATGGTTAATGATGAGCATTCGTCATGATGTTGCAAGTTGGAAAAGTAGCTAGAGAGGATTTCAGCTCAGTATCTCATCCTAAGGATGTTTCTCTTCTTCATGGCTTTGAGTAGTTTTCTAAATTTTCCCAGAAAAACTTCCTAACTTTAGAATTCTTTACAAGTCAGCATGAATGTAAAACATTTCCAATTAGAAATAAACAGAAAAGAATACCCTTTTAAAAGCCCTGTTTGTTCTTAG